TTGGTTTTTCAGTTTATGGGCAGACTACAGGTGGTGGGAGAGCAGGAGGCCAGTGACCTGAGCCAGATGGTAGAGGGAGGGCACAGGGTGAGGCAGGTGTGGGGTGGACCCCGAGCTGTAGGGAGCGTAGGCAGGGAGGCTGCTGCAGTGCTGAGGCAGGAATGGTGGTGGCTGGGGACCAGCCCTGAGGGTGGACCTTAGATGTCGGGGTAGGGCAGCATTTGAGATTCATGACCCCCCACACATGTGGATGAGTGCTGAGCCAGGATACTGGACAGGCTCACACCAAGGCCATGTTGGGGCCACCCTCTTGCGCAGGCCTAGGCTCAGCTTCCTCATTGAGCCCTGCGTGGGACTGGGGGTGGTGGGGAACGAGGACAGCTTGGGTTCACTTTGGAGAGTGGAAATCGGGGGAGCCAGGGCTGGTGAGGAAGCTGGATCCCTGACCAGCTGAGTCTGGGTGGTGGGTGTTGGGGGATGCCAAGGAAGGAGGGAGCTACTGGCCCAGGCAGGAGAGTGGGTTCCAGCCCCAGGGGCCCCCAGCCCCTCTCCTGGGGATAAGTAGAGGATAGGGCAAGGGTTTCCCGGGGACAGGGCAGAGGGACAAATTGATTCCTTTGTTCTGTGAGGAGCCGACATCCTCTTCATCCCCCAGGGTGGCAAGGGATAGAAGGGGGCTGGTGGTTGAATGGTTTGCATCTGGGGCCAGGGCCTGGGCCACTAGGAAGGAGGACCAGTTCTGAGTATCTGGCTCATGGTGGGCCCCACACCCTGGCCACACCCCAGGGCTCTCTGGTGGCTTCTGGAGCCACACCATCTTTTCCAGCCCTCCTGGCAGGCGCACTGAATGCCCAGAGTGAGGCTGGCCCATGCTGTGAGTGACCACAAGGAGCTTGGGAGCCACAGAGGCCACAGCAAGTGCTGTGTCCCCCCTCCTCCCCCCTACTGCTCAAAGGACAGTGGTCCTCATTGTACATCTGTCCAGCACTTACTATGTGCTGAGTGCTGGCTGTGCTTAAAAAAAAAAAAAAATTTATTGTGGTTCACAGATACGTAACATAAAATTTACCATTTTAACCATTTTTGAGTGTACAGTTCATTGGTAATTAAGTACATTCACCACTTTCTCGTTCCACATTTTTTTTACCATCCCAAACAGAAACTGTTCCATTAATCCATGCTACTTAACCCTCCTGATGACACTCCTAGGAAGCAGAGACTGTCACTCTGGTGTAAGGAGTAACAGCTCAGAGAAGTTAACAGAATCCAGAAAGCAAACTTCCTCAGGTCAAGGAGCTGCGAGGCCTTGGCGCACAGTGAGGGAGGGACAGCATGAGGAAGTGGGCAGGAGGGCTGACGGTGCCCACTCTCCTGGTAACGCTGCCCCATCTCGGCTCTCCTCCCAGGTGGCCTCAAAGGCTGGCGTCTACGAGATCCTCAACCAGCTGGGCTTCTCCGAGCTCGAGGACACGGAGGCCCAGCCCTTCTCGAAGCTCCGCTACAGGTGGCAGGAGTGGAGCCGAAGCCCCGAGCCCCCCACTGGGGATTCCTTGTAGGGGGCGCTTTTCCCTGCCCCCATCTGCTCTCAAGCCCCCACGCTTGCTTGCCAAGAACCCCAGGTGCTCTTCCCTGGGAGTGACCCCAAGGGGTCCCGGCCTTGAGGAAAAGATTTCCCAGCTTCCCAGAGAGAAAGTGGGGTAGGGTTGGGACCACTGTTTTGAAAGAGCTTTTTATAGGGACAATTTACTCCACACAGTCAGACCTTGTAAATGACAGGGGTGTGTGGGTGGCCCTCCAGGATGGCCAGGTGTGTGCACTGACAGACAGCCGGGCACTCAGCCCCAAGGAGCTCACTCCGTGAATTTCCCCCAGAGCTAATTGCCACTTCTGTCTCCTCCTTGCCCCTCTGAGAACAACACAGAACGGGCGCTGGCCAGTGTTAGCTCCCTTCCCTTTCTCTCTCTTGTCTCACTCCCCATTGCCTCTCCCCTTTCTGCTGCCTAAGCACTGCCTTCAGGGGTCCCCCAGCTGCCTGGGGGTGGGGGCGCCCTGCATGGATTTATTACTTTAAAGGCAGTGTCACACAGCTTTCTTCTCATGCCTCATCTCCAACCTGGGAGACTTCCAGAAGGACAACCTTGTGACCTGATGGGGCTGGCTGAGGCCCTCGCTTCTTCTACCTTTTTCCTCTCCTTTTCCCCTGGGGCTAGCAGGACTGGGGAGGTTTCCCAAGGGAGCTGGAAACATGCAGAGGGAGGCAAGAGCTTCCAGAAGGCAGGTGGAGTGCTGTGGAAGAGGCCTGCCCAATTTGCCGAGGAGCCTGGGCGGGAGGTGCTGAGGAAGCCAGAGCCTCCAACCACAGGTCTACCTGTACCTCCTCCCTGTTCCAACAGCCCAAGGTGGCCCTGGGCCCCAACCTACTGCACAGGGAACCCCAAAGATTGCTGGGCTCAAGTGCTATTGGTGGGGCGGCCCTCAGTGAATAGTGGAGTGTGTGAGGGTGGGCTAACGATGGAGTGAGGGAGCCACCTAAATTCCAGGCCATCCTTGCTGAGAACCCCTGAGCTGCCTCCAGTGGGAGCAGAAAGGGCCAGGCCCTGCTGAGCTAGAGGCCATTATGGTCCACTGCACAGTTGGTGGGGAGACTCTGCCACCTCACAGGGGAGCTTGGAAGCTTTCCGATGGGGACTGGTGCTAGCTGAAATGCAGGAGTTGCGAAGTGGGCAGGCTCTCCACCTGTCCTGGGTTCATCGGGGCCAGGGAAGCCTCTCTTTGGCCTCATGTGCTTCTGCAGAAAAACGGAGGTGTCATTGGTCATGACGTTTGAAAAGGCTGAAGTTCGTATCAGCCCACTATTGGGAAATATTTGACCATCTTGGCTGAATTCTTTTTGCAAAACTACTGTATGTTCACTACCTTTTCAGATTTGTTATTGTTATTTTTGTCTATGTTAAAAAGTTTTAATTCTTCACAGACAAGGTCTTGATGAGGGGTCAGAGAGCAGGGCTGAAGTGGGAGGAATCTTAGTATTCTCATGGTTGGCTCTGACTTTCTGCTGTGCTGGGACCAATGGCTGGTCACTTCACCTCTCTGCCTCAGTTTCCCCATCTGTAAAATGGGAGACTAATACTTGCCTACCTCACAGGGGTGTTGTGAGGATTTGTTCGTGATTTTTTTTGTACAGAGCTTTTGAGCATTAAAAATGGCTAAATGTGAAATGTGCCTGGTTGCTGATTT